GAGAGAGAGTGAGAGAGAGTGAGAGAGAGTGAGAGAGAGTGAGAGAGAGTGAGAGAGAGTGAGAGAGAGAGACACACACACACAAAGTGAGTGTTGCAAGGCTAGGTGACTCCATTGCTGCCTCTAATTCCGTTTGATCATAGATTACACTCCCTGAAGCTGTTGCTAGGAATATACACAAAATCCCAGACAATTCTGCCAAAGCCTGGTTGGGTGAGTGTTGGTGGGTGGCGTGCTGACCCCTATGTGAACAGCTCCTGTCCCCCACCACTGATCAGAGCCGGTCGCTCTCCAATGGAGTTAGCTGGCGAAGGTCAAGCCGGGCAAGACTGTGCCATCCTGTCACTGGTAATCTCCGCTCCGTGCGCAGAGACCTTCCTTTCTCCCCCCCGCGAAGGACAGGGCCCTACCCTGAAACACCGCACGCCTGAATGACCCACACGGTCAGCCCAACTGGTAACCTTAAACCGCATTCCAGCACGTCCCCCCAGCACAGTCAGGATTCTCTAACAAACGGTGCCAGTCCTGAATCTAATCAGTAAACGGACATCGTCAGCTAACTGCTCCTCCTGTATCCTAACAGTCAGACCTCTCCAGGCTGTGTCGAGCACCTTTCCCATTCGGAATTCCACTTTCCGACTCTGCAGTCTGGATGAGCGCCAAATGAAAAGCATCGCCGCACATAACAGACAGCAACATCAGGTTGCCGCGTTACTGAGCCGTTACTTTTCTGCGTGGAACTTACTCGGTTTTATCGCCGGGAGACTGGGGTCGATGAGATGGAGGCAGAGACTGTTGCTGGTTGGATGGACGCGAGAGCTGAGGGCTGTGAGTTGTGTTCGCAGTCAGGTCCTGTGTGTATTGTACCACGGGGCCCTTGGTCCGAACAGCACCTGGCCAAGAGAAACGGAAATTCAACACCGACTCGGCAAAGTTAATCTGCTTCACGCACCAGCTCCCGAGATCCCTGACCCCTCTACCCCTCTCCCCCCAACCCCCCAGCACAGTGGAACAAATCAGGAGCCAACCGCAGAACTGCAGGCACCAGAACCAGCAGGTCGCAGGTTCGGATCCCACACCCGAGATACAGGCCACTACTTCCCAGTGAGAGAGCACCGAGGGAATGCTGCACTGTCGGAGGGTCAGCATCGATAGGGCGTCGCACTATCGGAGGGTCAGCGTTGAGAGGGTGTCGTGCCAGAGGCGCTGCCGTTCTCAGTGAGACGTCAGAGGATGCACTATACCCAACACTGCGCAGCGCACCCTCGGCCCTGACCCCTCCCACACTGCGCAGCGCACCCTCGGCCCTGACCCCTCCCACACTGCGCAGCGCACCCTCGGCCCTGCGCGCACCCCACCTCGACCAGTGCAGCACTCCCTTAGCCCTGACCCTTCCCCCCCACAGTGTAGCACTCCCTCGGCCCTGAACCCCCCACTATGGTGCAGCGATCCCTCAGTCCCCATGCCAACCCTCCCCCGACTGAATAGCGTTGCCTCGGGGCCAACACAGAGAACTCCCTCAGGTAGGATGGGCCTAAAAGCAGGTCCAGGGTGGGGAGGGGCAAGCTCCCAGTGATGCCCTGCAACTAATATTTCTCCAAATCAACATCAACGTTAACGAAAGGAAGAAACAAAACTGATCTGGTTCGTTATCGCGGCGCTGCCTGTGGGAGCTCGCTCCGCACTAAACAGCCGCTGCGGTTTCTACGTTACGACGGCGAACGGGTTTCTAAAAGCGAAATGTGCCTCATGGGGTGTGAAACGGCCAGAGGGCATTCTGGGGCAGGTGCCCGGCGCAGACCCCCTCTGCCCACCACCACCACCCCCATTCCCCCCTTCAACCCGCTGTGGTCAGCTCGGCGAGCACTGCCCACTCACCAACGTTAGGCCGGGTCCGCTGCTGCCCACTCTGGCCACCCTGCCGGAAGGCCGTGGTCATCTTCAGGTTGAACATGGGCTCCAGGCGGGTGGAACCGCGGTAAATCCACTCACAACGCTTGTCGTCCTTCAGCAAAAGGGAGAACAAACAGAAGCAGAACAAAACACACTCGCCCACGGACAACGGTGTGGGGAGGCAGGGCTGGGAATGCGGGAATGCAGCGAGGGTGGGCAACAGAGCCACGTAAGGGGCTCCAGGAGTCGAGCGTGACTCCACAAGTGGTACTGGGAGGCTAAACGTCACAGAATCCTCCGAAGGCGCCCCGCTCCCTCGGCCCCGACCCTCTGACGGCGCCCCGCTCCCTCGGCCCCGACCCTCCGACGGCGCCGGCCTTCCATTGTCTGGAATAAGGGGAGACGGGAATTTTTAATTAAAAGCAATTAAATCATTCTTTCACGTGACGTGAGCATTGGAGACCATGCCTAGGATTTGTCTGGGGGCTCTGTATTGCTGGCGACGTTTCTACTGTCCCCGTTACCCTAGAGAGAGTGGGAGTGCATGTGAGGGGGTGGGGGAAGAACGCTGTGCTGGGGGTTGGGGGGGAACAGAGTCTCCAAACTGAAGGGCCATACTTTCGAGGAGAGAAATTTTGAAACACTCCGTCATACAGAGGTGTGGGGGGTGCAGAAGGTTAGACCTCTCCTCCGTCACCAGTGATCGATTGGGAAGTTTAAAATTCGAGACCGGCAAGGTTTCTGTTCCCCCCCCAACGCTGAGTATATTGAGGGATGCAGGGCGTAGATGGCCTAACGGAAGTCAGGTCGCAGATTGGCCATGTTCTGCTAGAAACAGCAGTAGCCCCTCTGAGGGGCTGAAGGGCCTCCTGCTGTTCCTAAGCGCCATATTCAGCCGAGGCTCCATCTGTGCTCTCTCAGAAGTGCGTTTGAGATCCTGCAGCAACACAACCACTTGAAGGCCAAGAGTAAAGTTGGAGGTGGGGTGGGGGGGTCACCACAAGGTCGGGGTGGCAAGGGGAAAAAAAAAGGCCGAGAAAGCGAATCCACGATAACCCCAGCCAGTGCGGTAATCGAACCAGAGACGCAATGCACAGCCAGCCCACGCCATTAAAGCAGCAGACGGCGCTAAACAAATGCAACGCACTTCCCTGATGTCTTTTTTTTAAAAAACGCGTCTCTTCTCAAAGGACGACACGCATGGGTGCTCGCGGGGAGTGGGAGAAGGAACCCCGCAGTTAGTTCTGACCCAATATTTGTTTTGACCCATTGGGGAATAGAGCAGGGTGAGCCGGCAACTGATCAGAAAGGGTGAAAATTAACCTGAAAGGTTGTGGGGGGGGCAGAGAATGTCAAACAGAAAGGAGCTGGCTGCCTCAGGTTGGGTTGGCACGCTGGGAGGACGAGATCAGACGTGCCTCCAACCCTCTGTGGAATTCCCTCAGCCCTCCCTGGGATTAATTGGGAAGGAGGAAGGGGGAATGCCAGGCAGGGTCCCCTCTGGGGAACCTCCACACGCCTTCAGCCCAAAGGGAAGGGGCCGAGGGCAACCGCAGGTGGTGGCATGGACTGGGAACACGGTGCCATTTCATATTGGCGACTGCCAGATAGTCGAGATTCAACACAACGGGCTGAACCAGGGGAGATGGCACAAGATGTCAGGCCAGCCTCTCGCTGCTAGGTTCCTGGCCCACTCAAGGGGCTGAATGTTCACCCTCCTGTACGCACGGACAGTACCGCAGGACCTTAATCCAACAGGAGTTCAATTTGGATGAATGCAAAAGGCGCTGCATTTTGGTAAAGCAAACCAGGGCAGGATTTATAAGGTGCTGGGAAGTGCTGGCAAACAGAGAGGCCTAGGGGCGCAGGTTCACCGCTTGTTAAAAGGCATGTGAACAGGAAGGGTTTAGAGGGAAATGGGACTAGGCCAGATTGGGATAGCTGGACGAGTTGGGCTGAAGGGTCTGTTTCCGTGCTGTCGGACTCTATGACGAGGCAAGCGCAGGACTCCACCAGCCACCAGGCACTTACCAGGAAGAGGATCTTCACCAGGCTACCGTCCACCTCCTCTACCCGAGACTTCCACCAGGTGCCCTCCCACTCGGTCTTGATCTGCTGGCCGTTCTTGAGCAGCACCATGGGCCTGTTGGGGTAGGCGGTGATGTACTCCTCGATAAAATCCCTGCAGGAGACGTCCTCGATATCCTCCCAGGTTTTGGCCACTTCAAAGAGTGTGGCGTGGGGAGAATAAAAGGCGTCAGCCATTACCAGATGTCTGTTAACCCACCCAACAACGGGAACACTTTTGCGCGCCTGTCCAGCCCGCTCACCGTTTCAAAAACCTCCCTGAACTCTCCTTCTGGGTGCCTTCTCTCCAACAGAGAGCAGCCCCGACTCCTTCCCATGTGAAGTTGCTCGTTTGGGAAGGGATACCAAAAGTTCTAGATTATTACTCAAAGACAGAAAAGCTGCAACGCAAAGGGACTTGGGGGTATTTGTACGCGAGACACAGGGGCAGCTGGAAGGCTAACGGACTGTTGGACTTTCTTTCAAGGGGGGGGCGGGGTTGGAGTGTAAGAGTAGGGAAAGTCTTACTCTAACTGGACGAGGAGCTGGTGGGACCACATCTGGAGCAGTTCTGGTCCCCTTATTGAAGGAAGGGCAGCATTTCATTGGAGGCAGTTACAGAGATGGTTCACTGGGACGATCCCTGGTCTGGGGAGGATTGTTTTCGGAGCAAAAGGTTAAACAGATTGGGACTCTACTCACTGGAGTTTAGCAGAATGAGAGGCGATCTCATTGAAACGATCTCATCAGACCCTTAAGGGGCGAGACAGGGTCAATGCTGAGAGGATGTTCCGCCCTCACAGGAGAGCCTAGAGCCAGAGTTTCAGAATAAAGGGACACAGATTTAAGACAGAGATGAGGAGGAACTTCTCTCAGAGGGTTGAGTGTCTTTGGACCTCCTTGCCACAGAGAGCTATGGGGGTGGAGTCCTTTATTTAAGGTCCTATATTTAAGGCTGAGATTCTGGATCAGTCAGGGAATGAAGGGAAGGACAGGGAAGTGGATGCAAGGAACGCTGGATCAGCCATGGTCCTATTAAAATGGCACAGCAGGCTCCAGATTGCCTACTCCTGTTCAGACTAAAGAAGTTGGGAATTTTGAAACACTTCCCAAACCCTAACCACTGCTTGGGCAATAATTTTTTAAAAAAAAGGAAGCTTTTCCACATGTTGCTTCTGATCCTATGGTCAATCATACCGAGGCCCCACTCTGTGGCTCCTGTCTGTTTCTACGACTGGCAAGTTTTACCCCAACTACTCTGTGTTAGGGCCTCTCCGATACACCCAACTCCTCGATCACTTCTCCTCTAGGCCCCCTCCTCTCCCAGGCCAATCCACCCTGACCTGCACATCCCTGGGCACCACGGGACAATTTAGCACGGCAAACCCACCCTAACCCGCACATCCCTGGGCACCACGGGACAATTTAGCACGGCCAATCCACCCTAACCTGCACATCCCTGGGCACTACGGGACAATTTAGCACGGCCAATCCACCCTAACCCGCACATCCCTGGGCACTACGGGGCAATTTAGCATGGCAAACCCACCCTAACCTGCTAATCCCTGGGCACTTGGGGACAATTTAGCACGGCCAATCTACCCTAACCTGCACATCTTTGGACTGTGGGAGGAAACCGGAGCACCCGGAGGAAACCCACAGAGACACCGGGTCGGTGGGGGGGGTGGTGGTGGGGAACGTGCAGATTTTGCATAGTCGCCCAAAGCTGGAATCACTGCGGCACTCTGAGGCAGCAGTGCTAACCACTGTGCCACCCTGTGGGTCTGGGAGGATTGTTCTTCGGAGGGTCAGTAATGGGCCCGATGGGCCAAATGGCCTGCTTCCACACTGTAGAGATGCTGCGATTAGAAAAACAGTGCCATCACCACACCCCATCTTCCCTGTTAGCCATTTTCCCGACCCGTCTTCAGCTCCAGGTGTACGTGTTTCAACTCCCCCCACCCCATCTCCCCTGACCACCACCCCCCATGCTCCTGCAACAGCGCTCCCCCCCCAACTATCCCAACTCCCGTGCCTCAGGAAGGAAACTTACACGGCCTGCAGATGGGGTACAGTTCTGACAGGTTGACATAGGAAGCATAGCCGTCATCGAAGAAAATAAGGAACCTACGGAGAGATGTGAAAATTAGACACGGACGTGATGTTTCATCCAAACTACAGGGAGGTTAAAGGTGATAACCCCACCCAACCCTCACCGAATCGAGGGTGCCAGTTTAATGTTTTTTTTTAAAATACAGACGAGTTGGCAGACCAAGGGGCCAGGTGCACAGAGAGCTACTGAGAGAGCGCGAGCCGAGAGCGCCAGCCGAGGGCAGAGAGAGAGAGAACGCTAGGTGAACTGGACGTGTTGAGTCAGGAAGCAGGGGGCAATGTAAACATCGGTCTCAAGCCAGACACTGGGAGCAATTTGTTCAATTTTCCTCTCTTCGTACTGTTCCGTTTCCACGCAGAGATCAAAAGCATTCACTGTCACATGTGTGCAATATCAGTCCACTGGTTGCAACTTTGTTGTTATCACCTTGTGGCCATTTCTGATGAGGGTAGCATTTATTGTCCCCCACCCGCATTGTGAAGGTGGAGGTGAGCCGCCATCTTAAACCGCCGGTGCTACCCCTCCCTCCCAACCCCACCGTTGCAGTGTAGGGACACAGTGCTGTTAGGGAGAGGGTGCCAAGATTTTGACTCAGCCACGTGAAAGGGACAGCCAATATATACAATCATAGAGATGGAAACAGAGCCTTCAGTTCAACTCATCCGTGCTGACCCAGATATCCTAAATTAATCTAGACCCATTTGCCAGCATTTGGCCCCTATCCCTCTAAACCCTTCCTATCCACGTCCCCATCCAGATGCCTTTTAAATGTTGTCATTGTACCAGCCTCCACCACTTCCTTTGGCAGCTCGGTCCATACTCACACCACCCTCTGCGTGAAAAAGTTGCCCCTTAGGTCCTTTTTAAATCTTTCCCCTCTCACCTTAAACCTATGCCCCTCTAGTTTTGGACTACCCTACCCCTGGGGGAAAAGACCTTGTCTATTCACCCTATCCATGCTCCTCATGATTTTATAAACCTCTGCAAGGTCACCCCTCAGCCTCCAACACTCCAGGGAAATTAACCGCAGTCTCTCAGATCCTCCAATATTCTTGTCAATCTTTACTGAACTCCTGAGAGAGTCACAACATATTTCCTGTAGGAAGATGCCCAGAACCGAACGCTGTAGTCCAAAAGTAGCCTAACCAACGTCTTGTACGGCCGTAAAATAATATCCTGCATGCCATACTCGATATGTTTTCCAACTCAGGACAGTGGGTGGCTCACGGGGGATCTTGCAGGGGGGTGGCACTCCCTCGCGTACGCATGGAGACTCGCCATACCTGTGCAGCGGCCAGAGACGGTGGGGAAGGTGGTGGTGTTTCTGCGAGGGGGTGGGGGGGGGGGGGTGGTTTTGCTATCCCTCATTCTCCTCCTCAAACTCAAGGGGGTCGAGGTCGTGTTCTAGGCAGGCAGTGCCAGGGGAGTGTTGGCAGCGCATCTGGCAGATGGCACACACCTCGCTGGTGGTGAGTGAAGACGTGACGCCAAACCAAAGGGGACTGCTGCTGCTCGAAGGCGTTGCTAACGCAGGACAAAAAAGGAGAGAAGCAAACGCCGCGCTGCATCTGATTAGCAGGCACAGGGCACCACAGCGCCAGATCACGGGGAGCGTCCCTTGGCGGCAAGTCCCGGCAGATTGCCAGCTGCTTCTGCTTTTTTTAAATCTTTTTAAAAGCGCAGTGAGCCACTTGTGACAGAGCGCTGAACCAACGCAGCCGGGATGTAAACAAGGCACGCTGAGGGACCAGCACAGGGAGGGAAATAAATAAACCATCGAGTCAGACCACTCGATTACGCGGCTTATGTAGCCAATGGATATGGCGCGTCCAGGGAAAGTCTGACACGGTCCCTCTTGCGGGGTGACTTTCTGTCATCGCGCCCTCAGCGGTTTTCTCCCAAGCTGGTGGTTAGCACCTGACGTTTCATGGAGGAGACCAAAAAGCAACCCACTAAACGCCACCATCTCTGGACAACTCGTACGCCCTCCTGTTGAGAGAGCAGACTACAGGAACTGAGCCTGGGCAGATCCCATGCCACGTTCTCCGTGGGGGAAGCCGGGGAAGGGGCCTGCCCTGGCTGTAGTCACACAGCACGGAAACAGGCCCTTCGGTTCAACCAGTCTATGCCAACCGTAATCCCAAACTAATGTGGTCCCACCTGCCTGCCTGCTCCTCCCTCCAAACCTTTCCTATTCATGTACCTTCTTTGTGTAACTGTCCCTGCATCCACCACTCTCTCTGGAAGTTCACTCCACACACGAACCACTCTCCGTGTTTTAAAACAAAAGTCACCCCTCGACTCCTTTTAAAATCTTTCTCCTCTCACCTTAATAAAAAAGTGCCCACCTAAGGGAAAAGATCCTTGCTATTCACCTTATCTATGCCCCTCACGATTTTATAAACCTTGGTAAGATCACCACCACGCCCTCAATCTCCTACACGCCCCAGTCTATTTTTATATCTCACCCTCCATTCCTGGCAACTTCCTGGTAAATCTTTTTCTGAACCCCCACCAGTTTAATAATATCCTTCCTATAACAGGGCGACCGAACTGGGCACAGTGCTCCAGAAGAGGCCTCACCAATGTCCTGTACAACCTCAACACCATGACCTAACTCCTACAGCATCGAGTCAATGTTGTGAACAAAAGTGCTTCCAGTCCCATCGTCTCTCTGATTTTATGACAGCGACTACCACTTTGAACACGAGCCCTTTGGCTTCAGGAAGCGCATGGTGAGATGGCACGCAGAGGGGTGTTGGTGAAAGGCACTAGAGAAATGCACATTGGTCTTCCCGCACGGCCTACAGTTTGTAACGGAGCTGCAGGCTTATCAGCATACGGTACTCTGTTCCAGAGGAACACAACGAGGCAATTCAACCCTTGAAGCCTGCTTTTCCACAGAAGGGCTGACAGTGGCTTCAGTTTTGTGCCATTATGCCGTACTGCCCCAACCCCAGCAAAACCCAGGATTCCCACTGTCGATTGATCAATAAAACTGGAGGAAGGCAATCCCAAAAGATTGATGATGCTCTGGCAAGCACAACATCAGCAAATCTCTGCCTTAATACAAGAGGCCCTCATTCTGAGATGCAGTGCCCTCGGTCTATACCACTGACAGTACGTATTGGAGCCCAGTCCCCGAGTTCGATATACTTCCTGTATCTTCACCAAATCCTGCACAGTCACTACACAGGCCCCTACTGCACTCTACTGTTACAAAGCTCATGTGCACCTGGTGAGGCTTCATTCAGGAATGACAGACCTCAGGCTCTGGAAGTCACCTCCTCTAGCAACAACCCCACCCTCCCACCCCATCTCCGTCACCTCCTCCCTCGGCCCCGCTCCCCCCCGTCTCCACCACCTCCTCCCTCACCCCGTCTCCACCACCTCCCCCCGGATCCCCTCCCACCTCGTCTCCGTCACTTCCTCCCCCCGGATCCGCTCCCCCCTCTTCGTCACCCGTCTCTCACCTCCTCCCCTGCTGGATCCGCTCCCCCATCTCCGTCACCTCCTCCTTCGGGGCATTACCTACGTACCGACCCCCACCCACAACCCCACTCCCCCAAACAATTTCTCCGACCCAATGGCGCTACCTTCCACACCAGCGCTTCCCCTGTGCCACCACTGAGGGCTGGCATTGAGGATGGCGGACGTGCGTGTACCACCCCCAGCTCCTCCTCGTTCTAAGCCCCGCACCGTCATCCCCGATAGGGCTCCCCCACAACGGTCATTGCCTTCCCACTTCACCCACCCTCTCTGTATAAAAACGTCCAGCCACTGCTAGCTCCAGTGAAAGACACTTTGGGGTCTCTCCTCTCTGGGGCGGTAGGGGGTGGGGGGGG